TTTGTACTTTTTTTGTTGCTGTGTGCTGTTTGTTGCATGTTGCTGTATTCACGTGCAGCAGCAGGTCGTCTCCCTTGCGATTTGGGATACCAAAAAGGGTCTCCAGCAGGAGAAAACAATATTTGCATGCGCTGGTGGCTAATATTTTTACGGTTTGTCGCCCAAATAGGCTGTCTTTTTCCATATATATATATTGCACAACATACTNAGAAAACAATATTTGCATGCGCTGGTGGCTAATATTTTTACGGTTTGTCGCCCAAATAGGCTGTCTTTTTCCATATATATATATTGCACAACATACTTTATTTTCAAGCACGTCGGTGAAATAAATGTCCCATATGTCACAGGGTATACTTGTGGTAAATCTCCGCGGTTGCACGCATCAAGTAGCCCAAAAAACGCGCTTGAAAATGGCCCTACAGACACGTTTTATCGCCGTTTTTCCAAAGGGGGGGGACGTTTTAGCCTCATCCCCGTTTTTTTTTTTTCATACAGTGTGCAGCACAAAAACACTACATATTGCTGAAACCTCAACATCCCGACGTCGGGCACTCAATTTAACCCGCGGAACTAGGCCTACACCCCACCAAAGCACCCTGACACACTTTTTGGAGCTTTAGTCTTCGGGGAACATCATCAACTGGACCGCTGCACACTCGAGCGCGGAAGGCGCCAGAGATACCCGCAGCGTCGCGAATCTCGCAGTGTGCGCCGAGATCGCTTTTTGAGACCCGGTCGATCAAGGGGCTGCGCGTGATATGAAAAACGTCACTCACTCACTCACGGACAAAAAATAATTTAGGGTTGGAGAGCCCAAGCTCCCGGGGAGCTTGGGAACCGCGGAGAAATTAACCAAGACAGCCCTGATTTTTTCGAGCGCTCCCGGGCCGATTCCCGGGCAAAGCACGATTATTAGTAGCTAGCTGGAAACCCCATCGACAAACGATATGTAGCCGTGAGCAAATACGCATACTCCTCTGCTCCGACTGGGTCCATGCCACGTTTTAACATCGATCTGGTCCAACGGGCGCGAACACCATCCGTGGGGTAGTACTAACCTCCACAAAGCCCATTGTTTATCTTTTGTATCGTTGTATCGTTATTTTTCTATCGAAAACACAACAAACAAACGTCAACAAATAAATCTCCTCGTTGATTGTGTGGCTGTCGACCGCGTGAGAGAACGAAACTGGACGAAGTTTCCGCAATGGTTGCAACATGTGCAACGTGAAAAGGATCCCGCCAAACGAATGAATCTTTGCGGCAGACAAATGAAACAGTTCAGTCTCCACGTATTCTCCCGCCCACACTGCTGAAGTCTACATCCTCTTGACTACGCAGAGCGGCAGCAGCAGCCCAGCCGTGTGACGTCCATGTGCACCTCGCAAAAATAAACACAGCAGCATCTCCGCAAAGGTGAGTGTCGCTCGCAATGATGACGATGGAGCACCGAACACAACAACACAGCGCTCCTCCCACCTTCCCTCCTCTCCTCCCGAGAAAAATCTCCGCGTTACAATAACTAGCACCGCCCGGGTGGGATGTTTCCGGAAAACTGTTGTGTTCTTCACAGCATCACCTGGCCTGTGGAATAACAACGCCTGCCTGCCTTGGTTCCTTCCGCACGTACCAATACATACCACCGTTGAACGACCGGCCAAAAAATAACCTTTATTTTCACATAGATACCACCGTTGACCGACCGGCCAAAAAATAACCTTTGTTTTCACAAACACTAAATAAATTCTAGCGTACAGTACATATACGCACGAATAAAATACTCCCAGTCACTGGCGCCGTGCTACACCCTCCACATGCAATTAGCCACGAAGACACGATGGGCATCGCAAAATAAGGAAAACAGCCGCCGCAGCAGCAGCCGTGGCGGCTTCACAGCTGACTCGAGTTGCTTAACAAAACATGCCACATGGTATCGACTTAAAATCGATTCTCCGGAATCCTCCGCACAACGAGCCATCCCCAAGAAAGACCAAAAACAACGAACATCCCTTCTAACACAGCCTGGCGCAGAGCGGGGGGCGGCTCGACACAATCGACAAAAATGAGGCAACAAACGACCTAGCGCGAGGGGCGTGTGGCTCGACATAAGTTGGACGAATCGACAAAAAACAACAACAAACGAGCAACAATATTTGACAGAATGAATCAAGGGGCAACAACCAAAACAACAGCGAATCACGCACTCAACCATGAAACTACTCAAAACAAGAATAACAGGAGGAGCGCGTCGGGAGAGGACGCGGAAAATGCCACATCGCCTCCGGCAGCAACAACATCTGAAGGGTGATTGATGGCCTTTCCGGGACCGACGCAGATCGACGACGTAGTTTCAGTTCAGACCTTTGCTTCTCGCCCAAAGCAACACGCCATATTTCGCAACCGGTGCGCTGTGGACATACCCCTTCAAAATCGTGGGCAACGACGTCACACAATCATTCCCGACAGACAGCTTGCAATCACGAGACCGAACACAGGTGCGGCCGACGCTAGGTTGGAATATCGAACCACATGCTCCACGCTTCTGCATGGCTACTGGCGTGCGAAAAATCTAACAATCCATCGCTACTTCAAAGTGCGCAAAATCTAACGATCCATCAACCGTATCGTTGCCTCCACCAAAATTTGATACTACCATTCGTATTGTACATGTGCCTTTTTAACAACAGAAACTACAGCAGCCAGGACGGACGATAGACAAAACGAAGATCACCGCAAGACATCCTTTGCACTGCGTGCGCGCTCCGAACGAGAATCGAACCGTGAGCGCAACACGCAACAAACCCCATCGACAAGAACACCAGACACATGCACACAATCGATCACACCCATGGAGGGGGGAAGGGAAACAACTATTGTAAGACCACTTTCAAAACGAGCATAAACACTTACTACCCTGCTGCAGCGAATACGCACAAACCAATGCTGCAAACAAGACATTGAGTGGGGGAGTCGGTGGAAGCAAACAACCAAAGCCTGCACCGCAGGAACATCTCCCGGTTTCCGCGACTCTTCCTCCCAACAAATGTACGCATGTCCTGCCGGCCACTCAAAAAACGCCAAGCAACCCAGAGCCCACACGTAAAACGAAACAAACCGAGAAAGGTTCCATCCATTCCCGAAGAAAACAAGCCCAACCCAGTTGCTACGTGTCCCTCGTTTTCTTTTCTGCTCACGTCTGCGTCCACAAAACGGCACGCCAGCATCGATGCTGGGCAGAAATAACTAAACACCAAAGTCGGGAGAGGGAACCGAAAAGGCAGCTAGAAACAACTCGATCCCAGGCTCGAAATGATGCCTCTCGTCAGCCCCCCCCCAGCGCCCTTTGCCTGTTCGCTGCCTGCCTCCTCTTACCGATCAGAAGGAGCAGCAGGCCGTCCCCAAGCGAAATTATTGCACCACGTTGCTTACGCCCTTGAAGCCACACACCCTTTCAGCAGCCACTCCTAGATTCCCCCGACAAGTACGCAAGCAAGCAAGCAAGCTAGCCAGTAAGCGAGGGCCAACCTACCCTAAAAATCACGGACCATCAGTGAATCCACCGTCGCACGAGAGAGAGAGAGAGAGAGAGCCAGATCAGCCATAGCCCGCGCCCCCGCCAACACCACTCGGCGCCGAAGGCACGACATAGCCAACACACACGCACACCCCGCACCCACAAGACGCGCACACGCTCGTTTGCTGTAGAATTTCGGCCTGGCCCCCTCCAGAGGGAGGGTTGGACCTTGAACTCTACCCTCCGTCACCGGCGGCATGCCCAATCCGGTCACACGGTGCCAGACCGCTGTGCTACTGTAGTAGTTGAAAATAAACACACATGACACGAGAGAGAGGGTCGCATGCACGACCGCCGGCACCAGCAGCAGCCTTCGAGAAGTCGAAAGGCGTACAGGAGAGCACGACCGACTCCAAAGCCAAGCAAGCATCGCGTTCGGGAGGAAACGACCACGAGGTCGACCTCTCGCTCCGCATCGCCCAGCAACCGGTGGTCGGAATCCTGTCCTCGCGGGAAGTGGTGGGGGGGGGGGGGGGGGGNGGGGGGGGGGGGGGGGGGGGGGGGGGGGGGGGGGGGGGGGGGGGGGGGGGGGGGGGGGGGGGGGGGGGGGGGGGAGTGCGTTTACCCTCACCCCCCTCCCTCCCCCTGCACCATGGAGTTACACCCCCCCCCCATCGGAGTTGCTGGCGAGTGATGCCTCGCTGCTTGATGCTGTCCGAAGGACGCAGGGAACAGATTGGGCAAGACACAAACAGACAGATAGAGGCGTGGGAATGATGTTTAGTCTAGTAATGTAGCATTCGGATATATATATAATTTTCACGTTTTCTCCGTACAGCGAGTGCTCGCGTTGGCGCTAGGCATTGCTCGCTTACAAGGGCACTCGCAATGTTTGCCCGACGAGGGACACAGGACGAGCGTTACATTAACCAACAACCCGAGAAAACGCGCCCGCGAGGAAGGGAGACGAGAAAAAGTTGGGGTTCGCGATTTACGCCCCTTCGGTCTTTCCGGACGTGGTTGGTGGACACGCTTCTTACAGTACCTCCGGAATGGAGTCACACAAGGGCGATCGCCGTCGTAAGCCTAGTCCACAAAATAATCCCCGTCGTTATTACGTTTCTCCGCCTTCTTCGGTCCTGGCGGGCACGGACGGGGACAAACCTGCTACAGCAGTACACGCCCAGAATAAAGCCACGAAAAAAGAAAAAACTCAAAATTGTTGTCGTGTACCAGTATTGACATTCGTCGGGGCGCCTTGTTGCCATGCCATGCTCACGCGGGCAAGGCCATATCATCCTCGCGGAGCAAGATGGCAAAGCGTCCATGCGGTGCGTTGTCTCGTCACGTCATGCTCATGCGAGCACAGCTTATCATCCTCGCGGAGCAAGACGACACAGCAAGAGGCACGTTGCTGTGATGCAATGAACATGTCATGTCCTGCTCATTCGTTCTCACCTTCTCCCTTTCTGGAAGCGGACGCGGTCTCGGCACCTCGCCTCTTCTTCCGCTTCGCGGCGCACACGAGGCAGCCGAGCACGAGCATCACCCCCACGGGGGCGGCGACGGCCACCACCACGGTCTTGTCCATGCCTGCGGCGGCCGGGCGGGATGCGCAAGGAAAACACGCAAATGGCGTCCGCCGTAGGAAAAAAAAACATGCGGAAGAACGAATCAGACGGCCGGGGGGAATGAAAGGACAAGGCACACGCCCGCAACGGGAGTAAGTAGGGAAATAACGACAAAAAAAAATACTAGGTAGGGGGGTCGTTCTACGGCAACTCGACTGAGTTATTGCCTTCTTTCTCGAGACGAACCTAACGCCGTAGACCAGACGCAGCACACGCAGTTCAACACGAGTCTAAAGGGCGCACACCTCATCAAAATCCTGCCGCACGACTCCGAACTCCGAGCATGAACGGCGACTCGAAAAATATAGCGGGGCCTCCAACGACCACTCTGCTCTAGCTGCTAGCATAGGCTACTGGCTGCGACAGCGGTGGTTTTGTTTTTCTCTGAACAACACCTCGCCGGCTCTCCATCACAGCGTACAGCAGTCCTTTAACAGCAAGTCGATTACAATCCAACCCCAACAGCCTCTAGACCCGATCGACACTTACCGTCGATGGCCCCAGCGATACCCCCCCTGCCCGTGTCCTCCTCAGCCTCGACCGCGATGGCGGTGGTGGGGCTCGGAGTGGGAGGCGTCGTGACGGGGACGACAGGGGCAGGGGTGGGTGGCGCCACGGGCGACGGCGTCGGCAACGCCGCAGCGAGGGTAGGCGACGGAGTCGAAACCGGCTGGGACGTAGCCGCAACCACGGGTGACAGGGTCGTAGGGGCGGCCGTCGGTGCCGGGGTAGGAGCAGCTGATCGCGACGGCAACAGGGAAACGGGGGAGGGAGGGGGGTCGAAACAAATTGGGTACCATACGCATACTTGTACGAAGCATTGGATTTGGTGACTCCTTGAAACGTGGGGATCCATGCGCCGGGGTAGGAGCAACAACCGGCGACGGCGACGGGGGTTCAAAATAAGTATTCTAGATAAGCTATGGGTTGATGACTTCCTCTTCATTACTTTTGTGGGGACCCACGCGCCCACCGCTGCCATCATCACCGACGCTGACAAATTTCTGACGGCGAGTGGATCCTAAGATGAGCTGCAGGACGCCATCCAGAAAACGAAAATCAGACCGAGGGTGCATCACAGGTGCGAGGGGAGCGGAGGAGGGGCTGTCGCAGCGGCAAAAACAAAACAAAATTATATGTAAGGGGGATTAATCGATCGCACCAACCAACACAACGCCAGCCGGCGATTTGCGACCACCACCAAAACACGACGCGGAATCGTAGAAACACACGCGCAGACAGCAGTATTTCCGCTGACTCTACCTCAGGCTATTTATCTGCTGTGCAAGAAGAGATCGAACTTTTTGTTGTGTCATAGTCAAGATAGACTCTATCTGCTGTGAAAGAAGAGATCGAATAGTTTGATGTGTCAAAAAACAAAAATCCTCTCACCGGTGGCAGCCGCCGCGGTGGAGACGACGGTCCGCGCCAGCGCCACCGCCGTGCGGTTGGTCCCGAGGTTAACCGCCGGGAGGCTGTCCCCCATCTGCCCGGCCGATACGCCCCTAGGGAAGATGTCCTCCAGACCCAGCTGACCCCCCGAGTTCCCCCCCCAGCACTTGAGGCTCCCGCCTTCGAGGATCGCGCAGGTGCGTTGTCCCGCGGCGGCGACGCTGAGGGCGACGCTGTCGGTACCGAGGTCCACCAGAGGGAGGAGGTCCCCCATCGTGCTAGGAGCGTGGCCCCTGTTTTGTTTTTCGGTTCGGAGGAGGATTTTTCGGCGGNGGGGGGGGAGGGGGAGCGGGCTACTCCATGTCATGCATGCCGCAGTTGTTAGACCATTGACCTCGCATCCTTACAAAGCCCGGACGGAGCACACCGGGTTCTCACCGGACCAGGCTCTCACATCACCAAGCGAAAGGCGCCGTGAGGTATTCGACGGTCGCATGAAGGGTGCGCTGCCTCCTGCGAAGGGTGTGTGGTATCTTGTGCTTACGTCCATGCGTACGGATGACAGCTGCGTACGATAGACTTAATTTTAGTTATTTTTTTCGGTGGGAGGGGTCTTTGGTGGTGGTGGTATATTGCGAGAGCGAGAGAGAGAGAGCGAGAGAGAGAGAGCGAGAGAGAGAGAGAAGGACGCTACCTAGTATTCGACTCAGACATAGAGACAGACCCACACACGCGCATACTTTGCTGTGAACTCTTCCAGAAGCATTCGACAAGCCAAGCAACAGCCGCCCACGCACTGACTCACTTTGCTCGGAAATCCTCGAGCCCCAGGTTTCCGAAGAAGGCCTTGCCCCAGCACTTTACGCCACCGGACCCGAGGAGGGCGCAGGTGTGGGAGGAGGCCGTCGACACCTCCACCGCCGTCTCCGCGGACCCCAGATCAACGGTCGGCAGCGCGTCGCCCATCTCGTCGGGGTCGTCGCCAACGGTGAGGATGTCCTCGCTCCCGAGCTGACCGCCCTCCGCCCTGCCCCAGCACTTCAGGCCGCCGTCCTGGTGCAGTTGGTGAACGCGGAAACGACCGGAGTAGCGGCGGCGTTAGGTGTGCTTCGTGCCAAAGGAACAATTTGTTGATGTTCTTCGTGGTAGATGCGTTACTGATCTTGCTGTCGCTCGCGATTATTGTGTCTGTTGTGTATGCAATGCAGAGCAGGAGGCCCGCGCACACATCCATCGTCACACTTTTGGGAGATTTTCAACTTGACCTTGTAGACCGCGGTACTCGCGGCAGACTCTCATCACGACAAGTGCCAGTCAAACACACACACCGCACTTGAGGCTTCACAAAATGTGAATGGTCAGCCGATTGGTGCTGCTGCAAATGTGTAGCAAAGAAGACACCGACATATTCGTCTTGGATACTGTCACATTATTTCCACATTCACCGCGTTAAGAGTGTATCGAATGTTCGGCCCCCTCCAGGCAGCACACCATGATTTTTATCCGCTGACACCACCGACGTATTCCGATTGGTCAGTTGGCTAGCGCCGTCGGTGATAAAACTAAAAACGCACAACAACACACACAGGGCAGTCGATGCTAGAAAGAAAGCACACACAAAACACAAGACACACAAAACAATCCCGCTACAAGACTAACGTTCTTTCATTGGTCAGGTAGCGCGGTCGATGGAAATACAGGTAACTTCCTATGACGCTATAGATTCATTGCTAATCTATCTTGGAGACTTTCTCTAGATAGAAGATGGATGGCTTCGTTGTGTCATGTCAGGAAAACAATACACAATAAACGAAATCCACAAAATCCACACACATACCGTACG